TTTTATTTATTTATTCTATGACTATATGTTTGTTAAAAATTAATTTAAAATAATATTTTTGAATTCATTGGAAAACAATCAGCATAGGTACAATCTATTTGATAATTTAATTTAAAATAACTAGACATGTCATACTACTTTTGATGGTAATGATAACCATAGGGATGATGATGATGCATCTATTTACATACATATATACATATAACATACATAATAGGATTTCTTTTGGGCATGGAGGAAAATATTGACCTTTACATATGGCAACTATAAAAATGGGCCGTCAGTCTTTGCTAGTTGGAATCTAATGTGATGGTGTGCTGGTTTTTATTCCATTTTTAAAATATTATATATTAAAAATTAGCAAATAATTATATATAATCTTTATTTATTATATAAAATATATTTTTTTTAATCAAAAAACCAACTTAAATTAATTTTCTAAATTTCACTTGATACCATGTAGTCTTGCAGAAATTTGGTAGAAATTAACCAATCATAGCATAAGAAAATATTTTATTTGTTCAAATTAATGAAAACTAAAGAAGTAGAATCAAAATTAAAATAAAGACATATGTTCTTACTACTACTTCTAAGCTCCTTCTAAACACGTAATCCGTTGACTATTGAACAATTCGTGCCAGATATGTTTGATCATATTGTAGCAAAACCATGACATTAGACGAGTTGTTTGTTATAATGTAATGATCTAACTGTATTTGAATACATCATATAGGATTTAATTTTGGGAGTATGTCGACTAATAGTCGAGTCTTAATCAATTTTTCAATAATACGATAGAAAGTGATCGTCGATTAGCTATATTTATTGTACTAAATAAGTGTAAAGACATATTTAAAGAGTTGAATGCATTGGTCGATGCTTGTTTGAGAGTGGCACTGGGACCTTAATTAAGATTTTGTTACATGAATTTCTACACATGAAATGTATTATTTTAGATCTCTCGTATGTGATTAACTGAGGTTATAAAATATTCACAATTTAAAAATACGTAAGATCAGACATTTTGAAGGAATTCCTCCAAACAATGAGATTTTATTAAAGGTAATATATATATATATGTATGTATGTCTGTTTATTTTTATAAAGATTTTAATGCAATTTTTATGTAATATCATGTTCTTTATTTTGACGATTCCATATCATGAATATTAGTAGATATTACATGATTGGAATAATAAAAAATATGCAAAGATATTTTAATATTGTAAAGAATCAATTATGATAAGCGAAAAAAGAAGGTGATCATAATAGACATTATTAGTGAGAATAAAAAAAAAAAGATAATAACTTAATCCAAACAAAATAAAAAAGTGAATTCAATATCAAATTTTTTCCCCTTTTTATTTTTAGAATTGTTTATTGTTGATGTGGTTTAAATGATGGACGTGCAAAATTATTTGTATTACTCGAGCTCTTTAATTGTATACTTGGTACTGACCCGTGATATAATTCTTTTATCTTTTTTAACTATATTAAAAATTACATCTAGAGTTTTTCTCCATAAGAAATACAGAAAAATTACAATGGCTTAATTTTATGCATATATAAAAATTATAAGTTAATTAGTAGCTTAATACTAACATTTTAAAAATAAAATAAAATATTTAAATTACATACAAACAATTATAAAAATAATTGCTCGTGTGGACTACTTTCATGATTTATTGTTTTGATGGTTTTGGCTTTGAAAAATGTTCATGGGTTATATAATATACATGTCTAATTTGAACAATCACAAAAATATAATCAAATTTCCTAATGGGATTGGTTATTTTGTAATTGATTGTGCTCAACCACTCAATTGATTCATAATTCTAATTAATCTTGATTTGAAGTGTATATATATATATATATATATATATATATATATATATTCGGCATAATGTTGTCTCCCACTCCCTTTGTTTCTAAAAATAAAAGACTAGAGTAATTGGCCCCAAAAAGAAAAGGAAAAGGTAACCAATTATTTGTATTAGAATCACAATGTTATTCCAATAATCTTTTCCGTAATATATAGATATATATACAAACGCTTTTCTTACTTGAAATTATTAGATGTAAAATATACATGCACATACATATATTATATCGAGGGAAAGTTTGTATATTGTAAAATAGATGCCACTCTACATAATACGATCTTATTAAGGACACATGAAATGCACAATTTGAATTCAAACTTACACTCTAATAAAAAGGAATACAAGCATCAACAATACATATAAAAAAATAATTAAACGTGCCAATATGTAAAGATGTACAATGTGCATATTGACATAAATATATATTGTAGATAAGTAAATACTAAAAATAAAGTTCGATTATTGATCTTGTACCTAGTATGGGAACAATCTTATAATGACTGAATCCAGCAAGAAAGAAGAGTTTAGCCCATTCTTTCTCAGTTCTCTCCTTTCCGGTAAGACAGGTCATCATTAGTATATCAAACAAGAGTTGTGTTTGGATGAACTCTATATCTTTCTTTTGATTGTCCATGACAATATCTATTATTATCACCTTACCACCTCTTTTATCACTTCTCATAATTGACTCTTTACAACGCTCAAGTATATTTTTACACTCTTCATCATTCCAATCGTGTAATATCCACTGCATGCATCAGCAAACATATTGTAGTTATTTGTAATAAATATATGTATAATTATAAGTTGACTATACATGTTAAATAAAAAAATAATTGCATTTTATATAATTAAAATACTATTACTTACTTTTAATATAATTCCATCAGCAGGAGGAATTGCTTCAAACATGTCTCCTCCAGATATTTCAAGTTATGAGTGGATTGCAAGCCATCAACTACATGTGGTAGATCAAAAATAGTGAACTCCAAGTCTGGAAA